AAATTGTTTTGAAATGTTGGCAGCTATGCAGACTGTGATTGAGGAATTGAAGGTGGAAAAGGTGGGTGAAGTCACTGCATTGGTATCTTGAGAGGTGTCCCGCGTCTGTGGGCTGCCTGCACACAGTTCCAAGTTGGATGCACATGCAACTGTCAGCGGCTCTACACAGGGGGGATAGGCTTGATCATCCACCTGAATGTGAGCTCCTATTGCTTTTTGTGTTTTGTCTGAAACAAACATATGTAGCAAAGCTAAACCCTTACTTCTTCCAGAAAACACCTGCTCTGTACCTGGCATGATTACTGAAAACAGTGACATTTTTGAAAATTAATGAAAAATATGAAGAAAAGCAATTAGGTACTATTCAATATAAAATGTTTATATATAATGTTTACATAACAAACATATAAACAGTTTACATAGTAAAGTGTTAGGTTAACAGTGTACAATACCCCTTAAAGACTATCATAAGAAAAGAATGCCCAAGTAGGAGTAAGCTATGGAAACAAAGAGATACTCAGCCTTCATAATGCCTCACATGTCCCAGACTTTACATCTGGTAAGGGAAACAAGTCTGTGTATAATGACACCTAAGGAACATATCTGGCTACCTATATTTCCCTTCTCAAATTCCTTTCATACATACATTTACAAGGCACCATTTACTGAGGAATGGATGCAGAGCTCCGTATATCATGAAGAGCCATTTGAAGGTTTACCTTTTTTAGAATAGAATGGAGCTGTGTGCATGTGAACAAACCCATATAAGTGGATGGGGACACAGTAAAACTGCCCTGTACTAAGGAGTCACCCACAACAGCCGAGTTCAACAGGTATGCCACGAGAGATGTATGGTGGAGACCCAAATGCAGACAGTGTGCATACACCACCATGTACCTGTCCCTGTGTTACTTGTCAAACTTCGCTCACACACTGTGGGTGAGTTCATCCATCCAATGTGCAACCTCCATTCACTTGAATGGGCTTTCTGCATGCAGCTCCTCTAAATGAAGCCTAAGACGGGCAATAGAGGTGAGGCAGGTAAACTGTGCCCCATCATTTATTTCAGAACTACAAGTTCATCTAAGTCTTCTGAATGCCTGTAGTTAGTATCACAACAGCTGTACACATGTTTACCCAAACAAAAGTATATGACATGCACCTAGGAGTGTATTTTGCGCCCAATGGCCTCAGTACAGCAGTTACTATACAGTACAATGGCATCCTACATGATGTACCTATATTTTTTTGCTTTCATAACCTTGGTAAGGGACACTGCATGTTGTTCTCGTGAATAAAGGATATTCAGAACAGTTCTCAAGGCAAGGTTCCCGATTCTTTGCCAACCCCTTGTTCAACAGGTATGCCACGAAGATGTACAGACCCCTGCAGACAGTGAGCATACACCACTGACTTGGACTCTGACCAGGATTCTGTACCTATCTGCAGGGGTGTTACCTAACGTGGCTTATGACCTGACTATGTGTATTTTCTGTTCAGCCTCAGCATCTTTAAAGTCCACGTTCACTGCACCAACTTCCTGGCACCTGTGCCCTTCTGCTGCCCAACCAGGGGTGCTTGGACAGGAATTCCACGTTCCACTTGTGCAAGAGGCCCAACCCTCATGATCTTGAGCCCCACTAACAAGAAAATTAACATCTAGCCTATATCTGCAGTATCAAAAAAAATTGCTGCATGGTGCTCTCAAAAGAGGTAGAGGGGATTGGTACAGCAAAACCATATGGACAGATGGACCTAATATTCATAGCATTAATACCTAACATAATTAATTACAGAATGCAAAACATAATTCTTCTAAGCCCAGGCTAACAATTTAGAACCCATGGCATGTGCAAGAAGTGACAGGCTATCTGAAGCTATTTGCAGGCGTATATCACAAAGTTACACCTTTTTTTAATAATCAGGCTGTATAAGTTTTTCAAATGAGCTCTGTAATGGTACTAAGTTGGCATGGATGTTCTTAGCTAAGCATTACTTTTACATCGGACTGGGCAATATTTGATCATGTACAAAAATGTGGATTTTTCAAGATTGCTTATTTTTCCATGTCCAGTCTTGACTTTAAATATTTAACTTAGTGACCTATATAGTTCTCCCAGACAAATGCAGCAGTAAACATCCCATTATGTAGTTTTATCTTATAATCTGTTGCCAACAGAATAAAGTAAACCTGTATTTAAAACAGGTGAGCTTACATAGTACCCTTATAGACCTTTTGTCCTGAATTCCTCTTTAAAAAAAAAAAACAGGTCCAGCTGTTCTGTAGCCTCGTAGCTGTATATTTGCAGTTTGACAGGCAGTGATGCTGCTTGCTGGAGAGGAATCTGTATATGACAAATGTGCTGCGTTCATCTCTCTGCTTCTACTTCATTCCTTGTTTGAAACTGTGCTTTCAGCACCTCTGCAGCTGCTTCTTGATCATTACCTCATCAGTTATCAAATCACCATGGGGGGGCAGCTGTGAAATGAGAACACAAAGCCCTGTTGATGGCCACCTGCACAGAGAGGCACAGTGCAAGGCATGGTCAGAATTTGGAAAATATCAGCTACAGGGAGCTTATAGAAGTACTAGTGCCTACTCTTTGCCCTCTGTTGGTCTTTTTTGGGCACAACTTCCAAAGTTCAGATCCTTTTTAACTAAATTATCTATGTTTTTAGCGCCATAAATAATAGTTATTAGCATGACACATTATATGTTTGATCAGAAACCCAAGACAAATGAAGTAGAATTTTTTTTTTCAGGTTCATTGGGACAAGTTCATGTTATATCCAGTGGCAATATAAGACCATTCATAGATGTAGACTGAGTGTATGTTGAGACCTGAAAGCACTCATGGACATTTCAGTTGTTACTGAATTTAATGTAGCACTAGGCCAATCAGTTAGCTTTTTAGAGCCCCAAATATGGTCTCTGACTTCTTGAAAGAGACTCACAAAACTTTATTTATTTCTTTTCTTAGCAATATTGGAAACAGAGCTATTATTATGAATTAGCCTTTAATTGTTTTGAAACTTCTTTAGCAATAGCAGGACTTCCAGCATGGCCCACCCTATAAGCTACAGAATAGTCAGCCCCTGGGCTTCTTTTTACCTTTCTTGCCTTCCTCTAGAGATGCGGAATCACGCAGCATTTAGACAGTGTGCACAAGCTCCTTTAGAGTGGTTTAGAAACTAACATGTTCAAAAGGTCTGTACTAAAAAGCCTTCAAATCAGTGGACAACACCAGTAGTGCCAATAAAGGAGAGGTAAACCCTATTCATATGTAGAATGCAGTGCTGTTACAGGTCTGTTTACATGTATATTTAGTTAATCGAGAGAGTAAAAAAAAATCTTTAATACAGATTTTTGTATGATTCATAATGTCACCAATGGAATGCCAGAGGGTAACATGATGCAAAAGGTTGCCATTGATCTAACATTTGCTGGTACTTTTATTTTCATCTTCATCAGCAGCCTATGACAGCAAGAAAGCTTAATTAATGCTACACTGAATTGCCTGCACAGCGTCATATCTCTGTCTCATAACACCCATTCTTCTACAATTTAATCACAGGACCTCAGTACAACCCAGTGCAGCTCCATTTCTCACTTATTCTTGGTAAAACACTGTAAAATGAATACAATACTGTGCATATAAAATTATAGCTTGGTAGATATTATAGGCTTAATTCACAAACTTTCAAGCGGCTCTAAATGTATGTTCCCTGTCTCCCTTTCTGGCACCGATATCTTTATCCAGGTTTGATATTCTTGGCCATCCTGAGAGACCGGGTAAAGATGATGTAACTCCTGCACTTTCTGTTTCTGATTCTAATTTGGACATGTAAGTTAATTCATTCTGGCACAGAGTTGCACATGTGCAGCTGAATGTACTTTCTGACGGTGATTACAAACAGGCAGGTAAGTGTGTTTAATTGTGGAAGAGAAGGAGCCTGGCAACTTGCAACTTTTCTGTCCAGTTAAGCTCCTCTTTAACACCACCCTAAGACAACCTCATTTTAGCTATGTGACTGTAATTTCCAAATTTAATTGAACTCAAATGAAAAAAAATGGTTTCTTTTGTGAAAATAAGGATTGTTATCCTGGTGTGTAAGCCTTGTGAATTGAGCCTTATGTACAACCAGTTGAATGACGCATAGAAATTCTTCTTATAATAACTTTACAAAAAGTCTCAGAAATATCAGTTTTGTGCTGTGAAGTTTCAGACTAGGTTGTGAATTGTTAGGGAAAGTGTAAAATATCTTCTAATTGAAAGTCCCAGTACACATAAATGGATGCTTGTGATTACGGCTTAACACTGTAGTGCACAAACAAATGCATACACCGCTACTCAGACCTCAGCTGTCCTAGGTCAACAGGGAAAGAGTGGGCAGCACTAGGGAACAATGCTTACAGCTTGCTTCATGTTCTTTCTTCAGCTCTGTGTTCTCGGAACACCTTTTGAAACTTGTAGATGAATCAACAGCATAACTCACAGGGGAAGCCAAAAGATTCTCCGTAGCTCAGACAATAAGCAGAATCTATTTCTCTGTAGCATTTTGGTAGATGATACTCTCCGTACAAATGAGAAAGCATGCTGCCTTCAGCATCACCTTCTGGTTTATGGCAGGGCCTGTAGAAAAGGGTGTTGTCAATTGTTTTATTGCATAACAATTAATAAATATAGCTCTTTAGCCCTTTTTGGGAATATTAAGTGTATTTTAGTTTCTTTTAGTGCTTTCATAGATAAAATGTTGATTTGCCATTTAGAAAACAGTATTTCTAGCAGTCACACTTTAATCTCCAGGCATTTTTTTTTCTGTCTCTGAAGTTGGACACTTTATATAGTTTTCAGTCCAGTCCTGCTGACTATAGAATCAGTCTTGTTATATGCATTGTTAGGAGTGGTCCTGGCAGTGCGAGCAGTGTCTGGCCCTGAGGAATACAGAGTCTTGGGGAGTGGCAGAAGGATGAAGTCCAGAAGTCTATGAGCTGTAAGCTATGCCACGCCACATTCTTTTTCTTGCAAGTTATATTCTCGACTCTTTTTTCACCTTCCAAGCAGTGAAACACAGTAACAAGATTCCCAAAGCCTTGTATCCCATCTGGAGACCAAGGTACCTATGGAGAAAAGAAGATTTGTGAAAGAAAGAATGATAACCAACAACTACCTTCTATTTTTTTTTCCACCAGAAAATGCAGACAAGGTATAACCTTACCGTCTCAACCTATCTTTGCTTTGTTTTTTACAACAGATTAAAAACGCTATGATTGTTCTAGTCAGGTGTCAATTCATGTCTGCGGTGTCATGAAAATTGATTATCTTGCTAACATGTAGGTAAAGTATCCATGCCTCTGTCTTCATGTAATACATGTGGCAGTAGAAATTTTGATTTTATAAAGATATGTTTGGCTTATGTGTCCCCTGTATATGTGCCGTTAAATTATGGCTTCCAGGGTCTTATTGTGATTTCTGGTTTTTACCTTTGGAATGCTTTTAGATGTTGCCTGGATAGGGCAACATCCTATATTTAACCTCCCTGGCGGTATGATTATTTCCGATTTTTGGTGCTGAAAGCGGTACCATTATTTTGCATGGAAATATGTAGTTTTTTTTATTGTAGGCTGTAATTTTTAGGAATAACTCACTGAAATCTGTCTGAACAAGAGTCTAGTAAACATTCCGGATATGATAAAACTTGACACACGAAATCATAAATTATAATTTAATAAATAATCATAAAAAATAATAATATATTTAATTCCATAATATAATCAAACCAAAAACACTGAAATTTGAAATACAGTGGCAAATTCGCACATCGCTGAGCAAAGTCGCAAAATCGTTTTCAGTGTCTGATGACAAATTTCCCCACGAATCATTATCACTCAATTCTGCAAGTGGTTCTAATTTACTATCGCTGTTCTCTAGCTGGTCTAAAACCGCTTTTGACATAAAGGGACGCTTTTTGGACACCATGGACATTTCTCAGTTTCCAGGCAGAAAGAACAGTCAAAATGCAGGCAGGGCACAGGACAAAGCAGTAGGGACAAAATGTATGTGAAATGCATTGAAACAGCAATGTTTTACTATATAATAATCGTTTTAAAAAAAATGAAATTTTTTAAAAATGTCAAATTTGCCGCCGGTTCCGGCGTCCGTACGTCTCGACGTCTCGACGTCACGGGGACCGGAACATGGAAGCTGGATGCCGGCATCGGCCAGTGGAGATGGCCGGGGACCCTGCAGGGGACACATCGCGGGAGCGAAGGACAAGGTAAGAGCTGCAGGGACTCCCTGAGCAACACCGCATGGTAAGCCCGAGTGTAGCTCGGGGTTACCGCTCTTGGTACTGAAATATTACCCCGAGCTACACTCGGGAATACCACCAGGGAGGTTAATGTGCAGGTATGTGGCACAGCTCCACTCCCATTGATGAAGATCCCACCCTGGACGTAATGCATATAGGGAGAAGCCTGAGGCGTGACGTCATCCCGTGGCCATCTTGCCTTTCCGGCATGTCGCCGGCGTTTGTTATGTGCAATCCCATACTAACACTGGTTTTAGTGCCAACTATTGTAAGAGTGTTTTTAGCTTTTTTAAATTGTGGTTTAAATGGAGATCTCTAGATTGTGCTTTTACATATGTACTTCTGTCCTTTTGAGCGACTGATCCGATGGGGGAAGAAGGATTTGCTATTCACATCTAGAGTTGGTTTTCCCAAGTGGGGAACAAGCATTTTATGACCTGACTGGTAAAGCAGTGGTAATTTATCTAAGGTGAGCAGCCATCTGATATTTGGTGGTGGAAGCATGAAGAGCACTGGATTTTGTGTTATATGGACTTCACTTGGTGCACATGGTGTGGATATACATTGGACTATACAATTCAGATTTAATATATTATTTGTTTAGGTTGCGCTGCAATACATTGATATAGATTTTTACAGCCTGTAGCGTTTTATATTTTTTGGTTTATTTAATACTTTTTTTATGTATACACTGTTTTTGGTTTGGTTGCGCTAATTGATTTAATTACATTGCTTTAAAGCCCGCTGTTGGCTGATGTCACAGAGCTGGTCCAGGCTGGGGAAAGATCACAACCATATATTTCAAATTCACCCAGGAGCCCGGACCAGAACCTGGCTCAGCTTCTCAGTGAGCTGCTGAGAGCCTGAGCCAGCCGCTCCAGCCCCCTCCACAGCCCAGTGATAGCTGCTTAACACAGAGCTGGGGGCTCAGAGCAGAGAGCTGGAGATTGACAGTCCCGGCTCTCTACTCAGAGCAGTGGGGGGAACTGAGCGATCAGCAGTGTTTGATTGCTCAGTTCTCAGCCTTAGAGCTGGCAGGGGACAGATGCAGCATTGGATCGTTGCTGCATCTACCTAGATAAGTATGATTGAAAAAAAAAAACCCAATACTGCTCTTAACAGAGACCAAGTAAACAATAAACAGTTGTGCTTATAAGAATTAGTGATGAGACTAAAATATGTGAAATACTACAGAAATAAGTCCTCTTAAAATGTACAACATTTGTATGTACTGTAGATAAAACACTCAAAAATGTACTGCTTTGAAATAAATTACTCAAAAAAAAGGACTTCTCCTGCCCCCCCAACCCTTCAAGAATGGATAAAAAGCGACAATCAGAACTAAAACTGGTGAAAAAAAATTACTTAACAACATAGAGGAACTTTAAGTAAATGTAAAAGTCTTTGGGTGCAAAGGTTAGATCCACCAGGCCTTACTCCTAATGCCCAGAAGTGAGCAGAACTAAACTAATTTTATTTACTTTGGATTGGTAATCACATTCTAAGTGTAAAGTCCTGGAGAATTCAAAGAAAATATAAAAAATAGGAGGTGGGTAACACATCCAAATTTAGTAATTAATTGCTGATGGTACAATGGGTTATTGTAAATCTGAGATTGAGGACAATGGGGCCAAAGAGGATGACACTTTGCCAATCCTGTATCTTTCAAACCTTGATATAAAGTTTGCTTTTGTTCATCAAATGATGTCTAAAATACTAAAGTGGATGTGCTGTTGGGGAAGTTTGTGTTGGAATGGAAGGATGTCGTGGGGTGTTTTGCTGTGACTTTTTAATGTTTTGTAAATGAAATCTGCACACATAAAAAAGTACATCTTTATACTTTACAATACCTGTTTCGCAGCAGATCATTATCATAATATTGACATGCTCCTTTCTTCTGGTGACATGATGTCGACCACCGAATGCAGGCAGAATCTATAACAAGTCCAAAGAGTGCCGGGGCAGGCAACCAAGCTGGGAAACAGAATATGAAGAGTTAATTAAAATACTAAATGTAGGTTTGTGGTAAGCAGCTATCATAAAGATTCTCTGTTACCACGACAATGAGAGGTGGTTTACTGTTTGAAAATTTATTTTATTACTATCAACAGAAAAACATGAGAAGCAGCAACTTTCTCCCAGCAATCTGACATTATCACATTTTTGCACACTCGTATTTCTGTGCTCATTATAGAATGATCTCTGATACTAGCAGCTAATCACTTTTTTGCACTCACCTAGAAGCCTCATAAGAAGAAACTGGACTCCAATAGCAAATGATTTTTCATCCTGTGGTACCACCCTGAAAAACAATGAAAAAGACTTTTAAGAAAATGATTGACTTCCATAACTTTGAGATTAGCAATTCTGATGGGAAAAGGGAATTTGTTCACATAGGCAACCATTCCATGCATCCTTTAGGTTTGGCACAGAAGTGGTGTATGAGACTGACTGTAAATTTGACCTTTATACTCAAATTGCCATTTAGGCCAACCATATACTGACTGATATTAACAAACTGTAGACAATACAAGGAGAAATTAAGAAAGGTGACAAATGTAGAGAAAAAGATAACAATCATTTTACTGTTTTTTTCCCAATGTTCAATAAGTAACATGTTGAACAGATTTTGTTTTTTATATTTAGTGGGCAAATAGAAAAAGAAAACATTTGCAAAAGAAAACATTAAAGTGTATCTATGATCAAATTTTAAGTTAATATATTCATTTTCAAGTTCAATTATGTTTGGGTTAATCCTTTAACCTGAACAATCTTGAAGTTTGTAAACTTACTTTGTAAAGATCCCTATCTATTTGCTTCCATGAATTCTGTGACCCGCATTAGTCATCCACCCATCCTCCATTCAGAGATCCTGTTTCCTACATAGAAGCTGTAGGATGGTTTCTATGAATGGAGCAGCTGTGCGGAAAGGGTGGGCATAGTCAGGCTCTCTTGCTGAGAGCCTGTGACAGCCCCTTAGTTGTGTTAAAGTGTTGATAAACCCACAACAGTAAAATCAGTCTGTATATGCAGTAAAGCATGGTTGTTATATTAACTGTGGAACCTAAGGGGTTAATCCTCTGCAATGTGTAAAAAGGCTGTTTGATCCTGTCTTCTCTGCCCCTCCTCTTGTTCAAATGTCCACACTGATAAGACTGAACCCGTAGCCCTTCTGCACATGCTCAGTTTAGTGTGTATTGATAGAGAGGTTTTTTTTTGGGGGGGGGAGAGTGCATGTGATCAGCACAGGGCCAATCAGCACTGTCCAGATAGAGGGTCAGGAGTTTTGCATCTTCCTAGAGCAGAAAGAAAACTCCTCCTACAAGCTTTAACAAGTGCTCAACTGAAGTCACAAGACTGATCTAACTGCTGATGGGAAAAGGTATTTAGCAGTTTCTATTTACTAAAATAATTGCATTTTCATGTTCCGTGTACCGTGGGAGATTAGATATAGTGAATGCATATATTGTAAAGCGTTGCGCAAACTGTTGGCACTATATAAATCCTGTATAATAATGCAGGGTATTGGGTTTAGTAACACTTTAATATACCCTTTAACAAACTTTGAGCTTGATTTACTAAAACTGGAGAGTACAAAATCTTGTGCAGCTGTGCATGGTAGCCAATCATCGTCCAGGTTTTATTGGCAAAGCTTAATTGAACAAACTGAAGTTAGAAGCTGATTGGCTACCATGCACAGCTCAACCATATTTTGCACTCTCCAGTTTTAGTAAATCAACCCCTTTGTATCATCAGCGGATCATCTCAACTTTTCTCTCCATAAACTAGTAATATAATGGAAAGAAAATGGCATCTAGGCCAATTACTGGATTGCCTAAGCTCTATCACTTGCTGCCCACCATTAAGCCATGACAAACCACAAAATTTTGATGTGAAATCGGTATCTCCATCTACAGTATGACAAAGGTCATCAAAAGCCTTTTCACGGGAAGGAATTATGCAGAAAATGGCATCTAGGCCAATTACTGGATTGCCTAAGCTCTATCACTTGCTGCCCACCATTGAGCCATGACAAACCACAAAATTTTGATGTGAAATCAGTATCTCCATCTACAGTATGACAAAGGTCATCAAAAGCCTTTTCACGGGAAGGAATTATGCAGATTGTCCCAGTGTGCACATGTACAGATTTGATTTTGACAAACATAAAGATGTGATCACTTGGCAGACATAATCACCAAACAACAGCCATGGAGTTGATATTATAAGTTTAAAAGTGCTCTTATTATTTTCATATAAAAGCTTTTGGTGTGTTCAGCATCACAGAATATACATTCTCATAGTATTTACCTTAACACCATCATGTACAGAGGATTATGGGAAAGGCAGGCAATGAGTGAAGCAAATGAGATGAGGAAAATGATAGGCAGTAGAAGGTGGGCACAGCTGACCATGCAGGATCCTGATTTTGCTGTTCCCCCATGTGAACCTGGTCTGATACATGAGCAGTTGGTATATAACTGGAATAAAAAGGAAATGCAACAAATGGTTATAAAAAACTGCACATTGCATTATGACAATAATGGTATGTTTTATGATCGGAGTGCACTACGAGCTTACTCTCTTAAAGTAATTAAAACCCCTAAAAGAAAAAACATTAAGATCTCCCTAATAAGGTTTTCATTTCTCTGTGCCCTTAGTTTTTATAATTAAGCTTCCCTCTTATGGAAATTACTGTATCTGTTGATCCTGCCATTCAATTAGGCTTCCTCTTTCTCAATGTGATGATCTGCATGTTCAGAGATCCTTGGCAGAATTGTGATGACAGTGGCCATGCTAATCCTTCTAGTAAGTAAAGCTGGCCATACATTGATAAGTTTTTTTAAATTAGCGAGCCGGCTGATCGAAAAAACTGAACAGATTTCCCAATCCAAGCATACAAGGTGGATGCTGAACAGTCCGATTTTCAGTCCCTCTAAGGCCAGCTTAAATTTAGTTTTATTTACTGGACACAGATTACTTCTTGGGTCACACAACCGCTCCTTTTCACTGTAGTTTAACAATCCCTGGGTTGGGGGATGGGCAAAGTTGGAGCACATCACATGTTCATGACATGATGCGCTGCCGCTTAGACCACCCCTGACCCCCCCAATTCATTGCTGGGCTGTAGGGAAAGAAAAAGTAATCACATTGTGTGTGTGTATATCTATCTATATATATATATTGTATATACACTATATTGCCAAAAGTATTGGGACACCCCTCCAAACCATTGGATTCAGGTGTTCCAATCGCCTCCATGGCCACAGGTGTATAAAATCAAGCACCTAGACATGTAGACTGCTTCTACAAACATTTGTGAAAGAATGGATCACTCTCAGGAGCTCAGTGAATTCAAGCATGGTACCATGATAGGTTGCCACCTGTGCAAAAAGTCCATCCTTGAAATTTCCTTGCTACTAAATATTCCACAGTTAACTGTTAGTGGTATTTTAACAAAGTGGAAGCAACTGGGAACAACAGCCATGAAATGGTAGGCGCATGCTCAGTGGGGTCAGCGCATGCTCAAGTGCAAAGTCGCCAACTGTCTGCAGAGTCAATAGCTAAAGACCTCCAAACTTCATGTGGCCTTCAGATTAGCATTACAACAGTGCGTAGAGAGCTTCGTGGATTGGGATTCCATGGCCGAGCAGCTGCATCAAAGTCTTACATCACCAAGTGCAATGCAAACCGTCAGATGCAGTGGTGTAAAGAGCGCCACCACTGGACTCTAGAGTAGTGGAGACGTGTTCTCTGGAGTGATGATTCACAATTCTCTGGCAATCCGATAGACATGTCTGGGGTTGGCGGTTGCCAGGAGAACAGTACTTGCCTGACTGCATTGTGCCAAGTGTAAAGTTTGGTGAAGGGGGGATTAAGGTATGGGGTTGTTTTTCAGGGGTTGGACTTCACCCCTTAATTTCAGTGAAGGGAACTCTTAAGGCATCAGCATACCAAGACATTTTGAACATTTTCATGCTCCCAACTTTGTGGGAACAGTTTGGGGATGGCCCCTTCCTGTTCCAACATGTCCAGTGCACAAAGCAAAGTTCATAAAGACATTGATGAGCGAGTTTGGGGTGGAGGAACTTGACTGGCCTGCACAGAGTCCTGACCTCAACCCGATAGAAACACCTTTGGGATGAATTAGAGTGGAAACTGCGAGCCAGGCCTTGTTCAACATCAGCACCTGACCTCACAAATGCACTTCTGAAAGAATGGTCAAACATTCCCATAGACATACTCCTAAACCTTGTGGACAGCCTTCCCAGAAGAAATGAAGCTGTTATAGCTGCAAAGGGTGGGCCAACTCAATACTGAACCCTACAAACTAAGACTGGGATGCCATTAAAGTTCATGTGCATGTAAAGGCAGGCATCCCAAAACTTTTGTCAATATAGTGTATATACATATATAAATTTACTTTTTAAATAAATTGCTGGTGCTATGACCTATGCATAAAAGGTATGATAAATATCTGGCATTACAACCACTTTAGTGATCCTTCAATATGAGAGTGGAGAGTATTTGTATACAAATTTCAGACAAAGATATCCCAGGAATGAGAACTATGTGAAGAAGTTTACTCACTGTAGAGGAGATGTTGTAAGTACTGCAGCCAGCATGGCATGGTGTCAGGTATTCCACTCCATCGGACCCACACACCGGATGAAAAGCGTGTTCCGAACAACCACACCTTTGGATACAAGTCATATTGGTACTGCAAGACAACATAAATCTTCAGTTATGAAAACATTTATATGCCTTATTCATAAAATGTATTCACTTCTATTTTTATATAATAGTGTTCTTGAGCAATAGCTACTCCAGTAGTAGACCAAGCATGGTTAATGGCAAGCAAAGATTACATTTTACAAACCTTTTTGATTTCTTTAAAGCAGCCTGCACTTCTAGTATTCCTTCTAGAGTTCCTAAAAACATTCTTGGATATCTGCCAATGCTTGTGTCTAATGTTGTGTGTTGGAAGCCATAATAGAAAACGTACTGTATATTACCTGACTTTAAACTGTAAGTTCAACCTCAGGAACATTTTCCAAAAATCTCCCTATGCAATTCTCTAGAATTGGAATAGCACAGTTGTGCTCAAACGTTTGCATACAGTGGCAAGAATTACAATATTTTGGCATTGATATTCAAAATATGACCAATCATGCCAAAAAACTGTCTTTTATGTAAAGATAGTGATCATATGAAGACATTTATTATCACATAGATGTTTGGCTCCATTTAAAATCATAATGATCACAGAAGTCACCCAAATGGCCCTAATCAAAAGTTTCCATACTCTGAAATGTTTGGCCTTGGTACAGACAGACAAGGTGACACACACAGCTTAAAATGGCAATTAAAGGTTAATTTCTCACATCTGTGGCTTTTCAAATTGCAATTAGTGTCAGTGTGTAAATAGTCAATGAGTTTGTTAGCTGTCACGTGGATACACTGAACAGGCTAGATAGGGAGCCATGGGAAACAGAAAACAACTGTCAAAAGACCTGCGTAACAAGGTATTGGAACTTTATAAAGATGGAAAAGGATATAAAAGATATCCAAATTTTTAACTATGCCAGTTATTACTGTTAAATCACTTATTAATAAGTGGAAAATTAGGGGATCTCTTGACACCAAGCCAAGGTCAGGTAGACCAAAAAAGATTGCAGCCACAACTGCCAGAAGAATTGTTAGGGATACAAAGAAAAATCCACAGGTAACCTCAGGAGAAATACAGGCTGCTCTGAAAAACAACAGTGTGATTGTTTCTAGGAACACAATAAGACAATACTTGAACAAAAATTTGTTTCATGGTCGAGTTGCCAGAAAGAAGCCTTTACTGTAACAATGCCACAAAAAAGCCTGGTTAAAATATGCCTGACAACACCTTGACATGCCTCAGAGCTTCTGGCACACTGTAATTTGGAGTGATGAGACCAAAATAGAGCTGTATGGTTACAACCATAAGTGCTATGTTTGGAGAGGGGTTAACAAGGCCTATAGCTACAAGAATACCATCCCCACTGTGAAGCATGGCAGTAGCTCACTGATGTTTTGGGGGGGGGGGGGGTAGAGTTCTAAAGGCACAAGGGAATCTTGTGAAAATTGTTGGCAAGGTGAATGCAGTATGTTATCAGAAAATACTGACAGACAATTAGCTTTCTTGTATTTGCATGCTGTGCATGGGATGCTCTTGGACTTTAAAGCAGAACAATGACCATAAGAACAAGCCCAAGTTGACCCTCCAGGGGTTACAGCAGAGAAAGATTAAGGTTCTGGAGTGGCCATCACAGTCTCCTGACCTTAATATCATCAAGCCACTCTGGGGAGATCACAAACATGCATTTCCTGCAAGACAGTCATAGACTTTGCATTACCTGGAGACATTTTGCCAAAATGAATGGTCAGCTATACCACCTGCAAGAATTCGGGGCCTTGTAGACAACTATTACAAAAGACTGCATGCTGTCATTCATGCTAAAGGGGGCAATACACTGTATTAAGAACTAAGATTATGCAGACTTTTGAACAGGGGTCGTTTCATTTGTTTACTTGTTGCCATGTTTTATTTCATGATTGGGCCATTCTGTTATGACCTACAGTTGAATATGAATTCCATAAGAAATAAAATAAATGTGTTTTGCCTGTTCACTCATGCTTTCTTTAAAAATAGTACATACTGTATATTCCGAATTCACCAAGGGTATGCAAATTTTTGAGAACAACTGTACATACCAGCAATCCTGCTGTTGTAAATGGTGCATTTGAGGTGTTACAACCCACACGGAAGAAAAATATATTTTAAATATATTTTAAAAATATTCTTCCCAAATATATTGACATATATTTGCAATGCTACAATTTTGTCCATATTCAATATATTTAAATATATATATATATATATATATACTAATGAAAAAATATTTTTAAAACTACATTTCAAATATACTGTATGTCTTTAAAAATACAGATAAAAAAAACTACATTTTTTGGAATGCATTTACAAATATATGTAAAAATATATGTTAAAATTACTTTTTTATATGTTAAAACGAATCTGAAGAATATATTTAAAAAATAGGGGGTGTGGGTGAATGGTATGGGAGGAGGAAGATTTCAGCTAAAGCAGACTACAGTTTTTTGCCAAAATGTACTCTGAGTAAATGAGCCAGCACAAGATACACATTTCATTAATGGTAAGTAATATCCCCTGTGCTGATTTTTTTTTTTCTTCACTAAACTTAGGCTTTAACACTGGTGAGGGTTCTCTTTCAAGTTGTAGTATTTACAGTTTCCAGAGCTCTTGATTTCATTAAAATCTTGTCCATTCTCCCATTTCCTTCAATCTTCTATCTTCAAACACTGATATACCGTCTGCGTAGTCTGTACAGCAATCCTTCACATGTTTGCTGTTTGCAAGTCATTTTTTTTTTTATTCCACTTGAAGTATGAGCCGATGATACCCCAACTCTATGTCTTTGATGAATCTCTGCTGACAATGTCATTATGATGCCAATCAGATGAAAGAGCCCAGCAAATCCCCCACAAGCATTTGCACATTTTTTCCATTTGTGGAGTCTTATTTAATATTGCTAAATTGTTCAAAATGTTATATCACAATGTTATATCATTACAGGGAATGAAATGTAATGTATTATCCCATGTTTTCTCTTTAATATTTTAGTTGTAATGCTGCCAAATACCTAAAGGTGTGTTCAGCATTTCGATAAGAACAATAATACAAACATTGCATAAATATAGTTTATAGTGTTTTGGCATAGGAAAGTAATCATTGCTTGTCTTTTATTTTTCGTAGATATATGGATATGCTGCTGGTTTAGATACAATCCTCTAACTACAAGCCTCATCCTCGAAAAGTAGAAAAGGTGTAAATGTCTGTGTTGTCTGTAGCAACAGATTCCTTTAAGTTTTCTAATCCTATTTAGAAAAATGACAGTTGAATATGGTTTGATTGTCACATACAACACACTATAAAGTTGTTGTCCTGTTAGATTGCCTGTTTTATTTTCCATTGCAGACTACAGAGAGAGTGGTTACACCTTTACTGGCTGCAGTGAGAAACAAGCTCATCCGTGGCATTGCTAGATATGGGCACCTGAGGCTGTTGACATCAGTATCCTGAGACACACTTGGTCTCAAGAGTAAATATAGACTTGACAAAACAATTTCATAGCATATTAATTTTTTCAGTGAATTGTTGCATCCCCAAGACCAATGTTGGTGACAGATTGCCTGTAACCAACGACGTGCTTGTACATCATTGGGTTGGAGTGGTTAACATTGGGTGGAGGTGTCTGGCTTAGGTTTTGTCTCCTCTTTTAATGCCAGACTTTCCAGTTTCATTGTGTTAGATAAGATGCAAAAAAAATGCTTCCTATACCTTTCATTGCTGTCCCCAAGCTCTTGTGTTGAGCAGCCCATGAAGAACAGAGGAACACAGAGCATGATGGAGAAAAGAAGGACGGTCAGAGCAAAGCGGGGAATCACTTTAACTGAAATACAGAACTTCTTCATGATGATTCCTCCAATCAACATGCCCAGAGCAGCAGATGGCAGATTGACAGCACCTGGATAAAGATATAAAAGAGATACAAGATGTCACTGGAGGTCTATCTACTGTAGGTCCCAAGAGAGAACAGTAAGAAATGATTGGTTTATAGTAGCAGAGTATATGCTGAATGCTAATAATACAGGCAAGAATGCAGAAGAAGCAACTAAAATGGTTTAGCAGATTATTGACACTGTAGGAATGTTCTGGGTATGATTACTGGAAGTCTGTAAACTGAAGTTTTTGAAAGGGTTCCTTACATAGGCTAGTGACATTAGTTGAAGGCCAATTTAAGCTGAAAATTACACTCACCGGCCACTTTATACAGTACACCTTGCTAATGCCAAGAAAATATCCCCCACACCATTACACCACCACCACCAGCCTGAACTGTTGATACAACGCAGGATGGATCCATGTTTTTATGTTGTTTATGGCAAATTCTGACCCTACCATCTGAATGTCACAGCAACCAGTCTGCCCATTTTCCTCTGACCTCCGACATCAACAAGGAATGTTCGTCAACACAACTGCTGTTCACTGGATATTTTTTATTTTTTGGACAATTGTCTGTAAACCCTATAGACGGTTGTACGTGAAAATCCCAGCAGATAAGTAGTTTATGAAATACTCAGACCATCTCATCTGGTAACAACAACCATGCCACATTCAAAGTCACTTAAATCCCCTTTCTCCCCCATTCTGATGCTTGGTTTGAACTTCAGCAAGTCGTCTTCACCAACTCTACATGCCTCAATGCATTGGGTTGCTGCCATGTGATTGACTGATTAGCAATTTGTGTTACCAAACAATTTAACAGGTCTACCTAACAAAGTGGGCATTGAGTGTATTTTTGTACAGTTGCTGCCAAACTGAATCTTATACCCTTTGGCATCTCTGATGAAATGTTCCACCAATACGTGCAAACACTACAAACTCAAATAATGGTGGAAAATGCCCTGATGGATTTCCTGTGCTGACGATCAAATAGACATGGCAGCTATGAGAGTATGGCTTTATAGAGAGGTAGGGACATGCATTTCTGTGATTAATTCTTTCACCACTGGAAACATCCTTGAAGCCAGTGGGTGATTCGACTGCAAAACACTCAACCAAATGTAAAACAATCTGTTGTTGGTGCAAGGATAATTTTTCACCTATCCCCTTTTCCAGCCCTCTTCTGTACATTCTTCCAGAGAAAACATAAAGGATAGTTCTGATATTTCTCTCTGTGAAAGGTGACTGGCTGCATTACCTGTATTGTTGGAGAGACCATATTTCCAAAATTTGAATTTTGTGATACTGCTATACTCTGTTTATATTGGATATATTTACCTGTGTTTTCTGGTATTTGTTTTTATTGCACCCAATGATGGATGATTTGTATATTATTGTTTAGATATTTGACTGTACCTCTTTTTGCTGTGTAAACAATGGACTTTTTATTTTCCTAAATAAAGAATGCAAAACAAAATAAAATAAAGGAAAGTTCTATGGCATTTCCAAGTTGTCAGCCTGTCGAGCCTTATTTATCAGATTTTCTAAAATAAGAGCCATCCGTTGTTCTTGTATGACAGACAAATGCTAACTGTGCATGCATCTACAGCTATGAGCAAGAGGAACCTCATAGAGGGGGAGGCACTGACCAATGAGGAAATTGGCATATGAGGTGCTGGATCCATACTGATTCTCCAAAAACTTGTTGAGGAAGGTAGACAGAGCTGCGATGACTGAAGAAAAGCTGCATTGTGACAACACCAGGATCAGGAAGAGTGGATTCATAAGCAGGCGAGCAAAGTATCGTGGGAACTCTGAAAGTACACAAAAGAAATGTTTAAATATTTTATGTTAATTTATAAGCAATAGAAACAAACCTTGTATCTGTAAAATGCAACTGCAGCAGGTAATATGCTGACAAATTGTTTACCTGTTCAATACAAGGTCTGAGCAGTGTTTATACTGAGCATAGTCTGAAAGGAAGGAGGGCGTCATAGTAAGTAATGGCCAGCCTGACAAACAGTTCTTTATCACCTTCTCAGAGAACACTGCCCATCTTTTGTGATACTCATTATTCTGGGTCTCAGGGTTAGCTGTCCATCCTATGTGATACTCATTATTCTAAGTATAAGGGTTAGATGCCCACTCTTTGTGATTCCCTTTTGTTTAGGTTTGAGAACTACGGTAGATGCCCACCCTTTGTGATACCCATTATTCTAGATCTCTGAGTTAGTGTAGCTGCCCACCCTTTGTGATACTCATTATTCTAGGTCTCAGAGTGAGCTGCTCACCCTTTGTGATACTCATTATGCTATTCTAGGTTTTGGAGTTAATTGCCCACCCTTTGTGATACTTATTATTCTACAGTAGGTCTCGGAGTTCACTGCCCACCCTTTGTGATACTCATTATTCTAGGTCTCTGAGTTAGTGTAGCTGCTCACCCTTTGTGATACTCATTATTCTAGGTCTCAGAGTGAGCTGCTCACCCTTTGTGATACTCATTATGCTATTCTAGGTTTTGGAGTTAATTGCCCACCCTTTGTGATACTTATTATTCTACAGTAGGTCTCAGAGTTCACTGCCCACCCTTTGTGATACTCATTATTCTAGGTCTTAGAGTTAAATACTCACCCTTTGGGATACTTATTACTCTAGGCAGTGAGCTGCCCACCCTTTGTGATACTCATTATTCTAGGTTTTGGAGTTAGCTGCCCACCCTTTGTGATACTTATTATTCTACAGTAGGTCTTGGAGTTTGCTGCCCACCCATTGTGATATTCATTATTCTAGGTTTTGGAGTTAGCTGCCCACCCTTTGTGATACTTATTATTCTACAGTAGGTCTTGGAGTTAGCTGCCCACCCTTTGTGATACTCATTATTCTAGGTCTCCGAGTGAGCTGCCCACCCTTTGTGATACTTCCTATTCTAGGTTTTGGAGTTTGCTGCCCACCCTTTGTGATACTCATTATTCTAGGTTTCTGTGTTAGCTGCCCACCCTTTGTAATACTTGTTATTCTACAGTAGATCTCGGAGTTAGCTGCCCACCCTTTATGATACTCATTATTCTAGGTTTCAGAGTGAGCTGCCCACTCTTTGTGATACTTCTTATTCTAGGTCTCTGAGTGATCTGCCCACCCTTTGCGACACTTATTATTCTACAGTAGGTCTCAGAGTTAGCTGCCCACTCTTTGTGATAGTCATTATTCGAGGTCTTTGCGTTAGTTGCCCACCTTTTGGGATACTCATTATTCTAGGTTTCAGAGTTAGCTGCCCACCCTTTGGAATACTTATTATTCTATAGTAGGTCTTGGAGTTAGCTGCCCACCCTTTGTGATACTTATTATTCTAGGTTTCGGAGTTAGCTGCCCACCCTTTGTGATATTCATTATTCCAGGTCTCAGAGTTAGCTGCCCACCTTTTGGGATACTTATTATGCTACAGTAGGTCTCTGAGCTAGCTGCCCACCCTTTTTGATACTCATTATTCTAGGTCTCGGAGTGAGCGGCCCACCCTTTGTGATACTTATTATTCTAGGTTTCGTAGTTAGCTGCCCACCCTTTGTGATAATCATTATTCAAGGTTTCAGAGTTAGCTGCCCACCTTTTGGGATACTCATTATTCTAGGTTTCGGAATTAGCTGCCCACCCTTTGTGATACTTATTATTCTTGGTCTCAGAGTGATCTGCCCACCCTTTGTGATACTTATTATTCTACAGTATGTCTCAGAGTTAGCTGCCCGCTCTTTGTGATAGTCATTATTCGAGGTCTCTGAGTTAGCTGCCCACCTTTTGGGATACTGATTATTCTAGGTTTTGGAGTTAGCTGCCCACCCTATGGGATACTTATTATTCTAGGTTTCAGAGTTAGCTGCCCACCCTTTGTGATATTCATTATTCTAGATCTTGGAGTTAGCTGCCCACCCTTTGTCATACCCTTTATGCTAGGCCTCCAAGTTGGCTACCTATACTTTTTGATACTTATTATACTAGTCATAAATACACACATGCATAAGTATATTTAAAGTTTAGCAGTGCTTATTGCGGTAGTAGTTAGTCAAATTCAACTGGACATGTTCTGTAATGTTAAAAACAATTTGTAGCTTATCTAACTCATTTCTTCAGTTCTAGTGAGTGTCTGGAAAATATCCCTCATGTGTGTCAGGAATATGCCACCCACCAAAAACTGAATAAGTGGCTTGGATAAACTATGAAACATACTCAACATTACAGAAAAAGTTCAGAAGAAATGACTAATCACTATTGGATACTGTATATTATGAGCTGGACAAATGAAAAAGTTCACAGACTGATCACAGCCTTGCATTTAGAGTGTTAAATAATGTTTAATATAATCTGTTTACAAATTTCAGCAAAAATAGCATTGACAATGTTGTATGTTTATTATGCCTTTTTTAAACTGAACAAGCACAGAATTAAATCAATCATTTATATTTTTTTTGGGGAAGCAATAGATCAGCTAGTTCAGCTGGAAATGATTAGTTTGATTAGGAGTTATTTACAATTAAATAAAAAAGAAAAAGACTTTGCCATGCAACCAAAGGGTGCTGGATCGTTGTCAGCACATTTTTACTGCCTATGCCAAACTGACAATAGAAAACATGCAGAATTCTCTTGGCAAAATCTTTCTTGTTGATTTTCCCAAGCCGTTGTTCTGGAGACTAGTAGAAAATCATATGAGCTTTGGAAACAATTCAGTCACCACAGCACTCACAGCAGGGAGTTTTGTATGTGTGTATTGTTAGTACACATTGACAGTTTGTGGTCAAACATAACACCTCTGCTGCACTACTAATCTCTTTCACAACCTACAAAGTCATCTGTGCCAACACATTACTTTTACTGGATAGGTACTTCAGAAACCCACAATATACTACCATTACACTCACCAGCCACTTTATTAGCTACACCTTTCTAGTACCGGTTCGGACCCCCTTTTGCTTTCAGAACTGACTACATTCTTTGTGGCATAGATTCAACAAGGTGTTGGAAACATTTCTCAGAGATTTTGGTCCATGTTGACATGATAGCATCACATAGTTGCTGCAGATTTGTCAGGTGCACATCCATGATGCAAATCCATTCCACCACATCCCAAAGGTGCCATTGGAGTACAGTGTACTCATTGTCATGTTCAAGAAACCAGTTTGAGATGATTTGAGCTCTGTGACATTATCCAGCTGGAAGTAGCCATCAAAAGATGGGTACACTGTAGTCATAAAGAGGTGGACATGCCCACCAACAATGCTCAGGTAAGTCTTGGTATTTAACCAATGCTCATTTGGTACTAAGGGGCCCAAAGTGTGCCAAGAAAATATCCACCACACCATTACACAAACACCATCAGCCTGAACTGTTGATACAAGGCAGGATGGATCCATGCTTTCATGTTGTTTATGCCAAATTCTGACCCTACCATTTGAATGTCACAGCAACCAGTCTGGGAACCTGTGTGAATTGTAGCCTTCCTTTCCTGTTCTTAGCTGACAGGAGTGGCACGCGGTGCAGTCTTCTGCCGCTGTAGCTCATCTGCTTCAAGGTTCGACATGTTGTGCATTCAGAGATGGTATTCTGCATACCTTGGTTATAACGAGTGGGTATTTGAGTTACTGTTGCCTTTCTGTCATCTCAAACCAGTCTGCCCATTCTCTTCTGACCTCTGACATCAACAAAGCATTTTCGTCCACACAACCCCCGCTCACTGGATATTTTCTCTTTTTCGGACCATTCTCTGTAACCCTAGAGATGGTTGTGCATGAAAATCCCAGTGGATCAGCAGTTTTTGAAATAATCAGACCAGCGCGTCTGGCACCAACAAACGTGCCACGTTCAAAGTCACTTAAATCCCCTTTCTTCTCCATTATGATGCTCGGTTTAAACGTCAGCAAGTCATCTTCATCACGCTTAGATGCCTAAATGCATTGGGTTGCTGCCATGTGATTAGCTGATTAGCAATTTGTGTTAGCAAGCATTTGAACAGGTGTGCCTAATAAAGAGGCCGGTGAACGTATTTGGGAAAACACCTGCTTTAAAGCATTTCCTGCACGCTATCTAATGCTAATGTTTCCTTATAAATTGCCAGAAAGACTAAAATGAAAGTTGTTATATGTTTGAGCCTGGTAAGAAAGGATCACTAAAGTTAATATGACAATGAGCTAATGTAGTCAGCATAAGGTATACTTTTTTTTAAATGAATACATTTTAACTGCAAAGACCCCCAAGAAAAAGGATAGTTTTATGTTTCCCAAACTTTAAGAGCTTGTTCACACTAGATACAGTTCAGTGCACTTTTTTCTCCATCAAAAATGCATACACAGTGTTTTCCATGTATTCCAATGGCCCTGGTTTACACCAGTGCAGTCAGTTCCAGTCAGTTTCCACTGCAGAAAAAAAAAAAACATGCTGCATTTTTTCTGCACAGAACCATACTGGAACATAGCAAACTGCATCAAAACTGCACCGGAACTGCATGTGGTGTGAACTGTAAGCAAAAATGTATCCGGAATGCTTCCGGTGTGTATTTTTGTAGTATTAACTGAAATGGACTGCACTTGCGTGAACTAGGGCCATTGGAATACATGGAAAACACTGTGCATGCATTTTTTATGCAGAAAAAAACCACACTAGACTGCATCTAGTGTGAACTAGCCCTAAGGGCCCTCTAGAAGGGGGAACTCCCAGTCTCAACTGGGCACCAGCCACCAACATGTAGGTAGAGTTAAAACACTAAATTGAGGCTCGGTGGGAGGAAAAGGTATATAAGTGGTAACTTACATTACATCGTGTGCAACTTTCCTTTTTATTTTTAAGTGATTATAGATGAAATTGTATAATTGTACATGTAAATAAAAGCAAATAACCAAACTTTGATAATGTACTCAATGTTCTTTTCAATTATAGACCAGCTCTGCCTCTATTAAAAGCTTTCTGTAACCTCACTGTATATTTCCATAACAGAAAAGCCCAGCCTGTGATGTCTGGGCACTGAGCTGTGATTATCACCACATTAGCCGTCATAAGGTCTCTGTTATCATTTGGAAGAGAATAACGCACTTCAGGAATAAAATGTGCAACTTAAGCAATTGGAAATGTCAGGATTATTTTTATGCTTATGAGGAATGAGTTTTGCTCAGCCCTTCCTGTGATATGACTGACTCGGGTACCCCTGTGGTGCTGTCTCCTTACTTTTAATAAAGCCGGACAGAGAGCCTTCCTCGTTACTAGCATCCGGCATCTTTCTCAGAATGTTCTTCTCTGCTGACTTCTAGAACACAAAACAGGAACAAGTTAGAGAGTATAACACAAATATTATTAACCTTTCTAAAGACCTTGTCACCAAAACCGCAAGTAAAAGGACGGAAACCGTGTATTTAAATGCTTATTTGCAGAGTTTTGCCTTTCTGTAAACCGTTTTACACCTTATTCCTCTACCCCTAGACCTAGCAAGCATTTAACCCATGCTGACTAGGAAGAACAGACGCTCTGAAGGCAATAAATCTACACCATTAAGAGATACACAAAGTCTCCTTACTGCAGAGCCTGCAAAGGGAATTTGTGACAGGACAACCTTTCTGAAATCTGCTCCTGTAAATCTGACTTCAGGTCTTCTTGATTGGAATTGTCACCAGGACTATAGCGCCATTATCAACAGTCACCTCTGCAATCATTAACCACTTGCCACCCGCCCATAGTACATCATTTACTGTGAGCGGGATGCAGCTACAGGCTAGGGGATGCATGCATACATAACCTAGCACACACCTTCTTGGGTGCGCAGTGTCACGGCGTCCAGGGTATTATGTGGTCAGTATAACCAATCATAGTGATCACATGATTAGAATGTAAGCAAAACTGTCATGAATGCCTCCCACAGCTATCACTTAGTATCCAGCACCCTGTACCATGTGATTAGCTGTAGCCAGCCACAGCATCCCAACAGTAAGTACTGTAAGTTGTCATGAATTAAAACCATTCATGACAGCTGAAACAATTGCTTATAAGAGTGATCATCATTGTTATAAACAATAATAGTGTAAAAAAAAAATCACTGATCACCCCTCCCCAGAGTAGTACAGTGTCACTATGGTGACACTTAACTGCTCTGATGACAGTATGTAAAAAAATTGTAAAAAAAAAGAAACAACATATGTTTAAAAATTGAATTGTTTTTTTTTTTTTTTTTACATACTGTCTGTAGTCAGTATCCCTGATCACTGCCACACTAGTCATATGATGACACTGTACTGCACTAGTGATAGTATGTAAAAAAAATTGTGAAAAAAAGAAAACAAATGTTTAAAAATTGAATTTTTTTTTTTTTTTTTACATACTGTCTGTAGTCAGTATCCCTGATCACTGCCACACTAGTCATATGATGACACTGTACTGCACTAGTGATAGTATGTAAAAAAAAAAAAAGTGAAAGTTTTTTTTTTTATTTAATTTCTTCAGTTTAAAAAAAAGTGCCAAAAAAGAACAACGTGGACTGATTACTTTACCAAAATGGGTAATTTGGGGGCTATATCCTGACATTTTAGGGCCTCTAGAAATGAGTTGAGGCAGCCAGTACATCAGGATTGATCAATTAGATTTAAATATACTAGGGATGCACCGATGCCGTTTTTTTATCAGCGAGTACAAGTACTGATACTTTTGGTCAAGTATTCGCCGTTTATCGATACTTTGCGGTGCGATTTGCATGGATGGTGCTGACCAATCAGATACCATCTAGGCCCGAACTGTCATCACTGCAAGTAGAGGAAAGAATGCCTCTCTCCTACCACTCAGACTCAGCATGGGATGCCTGCAGGGAGGTTTCTCGCACCACTCCTGTGTGAGCTCGGGCTATGACAAGCCTGGGTTCACACAGGAGCAGTAGGGAAACTGTATGTGATTGGGACAGGAATTATATTCCTGTTCAAATCGCATGCTAATCTTTGTGGTGCAATTTCTGTCCATTAACGCAAAAAACACACCACAAAGTATCGGTTAAGGTATTGGGAGTATTTTCCTGAGTATGAGTACTCATGAAAATACTCAGTATCAGCACCGATACCGGTATTGGTACATCCCTAAAATATACCAAAGTTTGAAATCTCTATACTTTTCACACAGACTAAATAATGTAGAGGGTACAGCAATCTCCCCCCCTGCTTGTTCTCCCTGCTAAACAGACGGTCAGCAATGGAAGTGGACTGGAGGAGTAAAGACTTTGCCGCTCTCCCCCACCCCCGCTTGGGCTCAGCGCTGCAGCTGCAGAGGAACATAGCAGCTCTTTGTGCCTGCCTGCTTGCCCCTTCCTCCTGCTAGTGGGGAGACACAGGAGAGAGTACAGGAGCCTTACCACGGAAGAATGGCTGCGGTCCCTGCTCGCCACCTGCTCTGTTCTCCCCTCACCTTCCTGGCCACAGTAGGGGGACCAATCAGAAGGGGCAGAAGGAAGCATCATGGGACATTTAGTCTGGAGGAATGGTGGCCCCATTGGAACTAGAGCCCCCAGAATGCCCAGCTAAAGCAAGGGAGGAGAGAACCTGGAGCCCAGGAAAGAGAGTCTCCAGGCAGGGCTGGGAAGAGTGGGGAGAGGATTTGGGGCTGTGGAATGCCATCCCAGAGATAGGGAGACTGAGCCACAGGAGAAGCCATCAGAGAAGGAGATTAAGCCACTGGAGCATCCCTCGCTGTGTCAGTCCAAGCAAAGCTATGACCTGTGGACAAGCAGAGAGACCGAGCCACTGCTAAGGTACAGAGGTGCTGCACCATGGACAGGAGTTGCCCAGCGGACATCCAACGGGAGGAATCATCACTGCCCTGTCTGGTGTGAGGTCCTTGCACTCATTACTTTCTACCACTGCTATAGACTGAGCCATTAGGAACTTCCTAACCTGCTACACTATAGCCATAATACTGCCTGCAGGCTTCACTGACTGCCATAAAGTGCGCCAACTGTTAAAGAGCTCCGATGTCAGGATTAAAGACTGCTCCTACTTTAGCTACCCCAAAGTATTTGCCAGTTTGCAGGTTAAAGACATACCACACCCCTGCCTAGTCATTAGAGTGCACTCAATCAGTGTAGAATTATAATCATTATTGCTGCATTTAGAGTTTGTATACCTAGTTTATTGATGACTTGCTAATTGATATATTGATTCTGGCTAATGATATAGAACCTGTTTTTTCTTTCTTTTCTACTTGGGTATAGTTTATACCCTTTTTAGGAGACTATGCCCTGACTTGCCTGCTGTGTGTTTAATCCTGTTCAAAATTCCATTTATGCTAATCTGTATCAATAGATTAAGTGTGTTTACTGATAAACGGGTGTGTGTTTATTTTATTTAAAATACCCCCCCTTATATTGTTACTTGTGCTCCCAGTTATTTTATTAAACCCGGTATGCCAGAGGGGCTGAGGTTGTTCTTGGAGTTGAGGCACAGATCAGATGATCCAAATTTACCAAGGGGCTCCTTTGGGGGCGGCAACTACAATAATATACGATATTGGGTTATTGGGTAATAACCCAAGAAATGTAGCAGAATACAGTGCATTCATAAAGTATTCAGACCCCCTTCACTTTTTTTCAATTTTGTTATGTTGATACTACAGCTGTTTAAATTCACTTTTTTCTCATTAATGTACACTCAGTACCCCATAATGACAATAAAAATGTATGTGAATGTATTAAAAAGAAAAAAACTGTAATATCCCATGTGTTTAAAATGTTATATAAACTGATTTACTATTGTGGGTTTAGTAACACTTTAAGCATTCAGACCCTTTACTCAGTACTTTGTTGAAGCACCTTGGGCAGCAATTACAGCCTCAAGACTTTTTGGGATGCAACAAGCTTTGCACACTTGGATTGGGGATTTTATGCCATTCTTCTTTGCAAATCCTCTCAATCTCAGTCAGGTTGGATGGGGACTGTCGGTGAACAGCCATTTTCAGGTCTCTTCAGAGATGTTCAATAGGGCTCTGGCTGGGCCAGTCTAGGATATTCACAGAGTTGCCCCTAAGCCATTCCTGTGTTGTCTTGGTTGTGTGCTTAGGATCGTTGTCATGTTGGAAGGTGAACCTTTGGCTCATTCTGAGGTCCTGAGTGTTGTAGTAAAGGTTTTCATTGAGGATATCTGTGTGCTTTGCTCCATTCAGCTTTTCCTCAACTTTAACCAGTCTCCCAGTCCCTGCTGCTGAAAAACACCCCCACAACATGATGCTGCCACCATCATGCTTCACTGTTGGGATGGTATTGGGCAGATGATGAGTGGTGCCTGATTTCCTCCAGACATAACATTTAGTATTGAGACCAAACAGTTCAATCTTGGTTTCATCAGACCAGAAAATCTTGTTCTCACACTCTGAGAGTCTTTCAAGTGCTTATTTGTGGTCTTTCATGTGTTTTGCACTGAGGAGAGACTTCCGTCTAGCAACTCTGCCAGATTGATGGAGGGCCGCAGCGATGGTTGTCCTTCTGGAACGTTGTCCCATCTCTACACGGGATCTATGGAGCTCAGTCAGAGTGACCATCTGGTTCTTGGTCACCTCTCTTACTAAGACCATTCTCCCCCACTTGCTCAGTTTGGCAGCCAGCTCTTGGAAGAATCCTGGTTGTGTTGAACTTCTACCATTTGAGAATTATGGAGGCCACTCTTGGGAACCTTCAGTGCAGCAGAATTTTTTGTAGCCTTCCTCAGAATCTTAATCTACCACATATGGACTCCAAAGAAGGTGAAGAAACATCTCAGCAGCCATCAAGAGAAATGAGAGGCACCCATATGAGAGGCATTCATATATTCACCGACATTTCCAAAACTTTGTTTTCGCTTTGTAAATATGGGGTACTGAGTGTAGATTAATGAGGAAAAAAAATGAATTTAAACAACTCTTGTATCTGGCTGCAGCATAACAAAAGTGAAAAATGTGAAGGGGGTCTGAATATTTTATGAATGCACTGTGCACTGACAAAAGATTATTTGTTTGCAAAATTTGTATAACAGAAACTAAAAAAAAAGTGTTTTTTTTTTCAAAATTCATATTTTTTGTCTATATAGCAAAAAAACAAAAAACCTAGTGGTGATTAAATACCACCAAAAGAAAGCTCTATTTGTGGGAATAAAAGGTATAAATTAAATTTGAGTATAGTTTTGCATGACCTAGCAATTGCCAGTTGCACAAAGTAGCACAATGCTGAATAGCAAAAAATTCCCTGGTCATGAAGGGGGTAAAAACTTCTGGAGGTCTAATGGTTAATAACAGTGATGGATACATGTT